GAATTTACCTGGTATGCCAAGTATAGTGGCATATACTGAGGAGGTAGCGGCAGGAGGATTGAATCAAGATCAAGGCCTGCTCAGTCTGAATAGTGAATTAAAGTCCAGCCAGGGCTATAGAGTGGGACCCAGTCTCAAAAAAAAAAAAAAAGTAGTTTTTTTGTTTTTCCTGTTATTTCACTGGTAGATTTGACAGGTAAGAGCAAGTTGCTTTTTTGCTCACCAGTTATATCTAAATATCTCACTTTCAGTATCATTAATACTGGTTAGAAACTATGAGGTGGAGCAACATTCAGAAACCTGGGCCTTGCTGACGGGCTGCCTGGCTGTTAACTGTCTTAGTGTCTTCCGGACAGGCCTTCTTAGCCGATGAAGTCAGAGATCGATGAAGCCAAGCATCCAGAGCTCTGGCCGGGCCTGGGTGGGATCCCCAGGGAAGAAGCTGTGGCGGGAAGAGGCGCCAGAGCAGCTGGCTGTGGTCTGGGAGTGTCTGTGTGGGAGCTCTGGTCCTCCCTGAGTTGGAGGAGGGCAGCAAGGTGGGGGTGGGGGTGGGGTGGGGGGTGCGGGGTTGGCGAGGGCAGAGATGTGAGGGCTGGGAAATGGCCTGGAGATGTGGATCCAAGAACAGAAGGGATGGAAGAAAAGAAATGAAAGAGATCCTGGGGAGATGGAGGCAGGAAGAGGAGGTTGGGGCTTTTTTTTCTTTTCTTTTCTTTTTTCTTTCTTTTTTTTGAGACATGGTCTCTCTATGTAGTCCTGGCTACATTTTCATTTGCTATGTAGGCCAGGCTGGCCTGTAACACACAGAGATTCTCCTGTCTCTGCCTCCTGAATGCTGAGAACAAAGGCCTACACCACCACACCCAGCAGTGGGGGATTTCTTTATTTCTTCCGATTATTTAAAAAGATTTTTAAAGCTTTATTTATTTATTTATTTACTTATTTATTTAATGTATGTGAGTGCTCTATCTGCACATACAGCTTTCTGCCAGCAGAGGACAGCATATTCCAATGTAGATGGTGGACAGCCGTTATGTGGGTGCTGGGAATTGAACCTGTGTCCTTCAGAAGAGCAGCCAGTGCTCTTAACTGCAGGTCCACCTTTCGAGCCCCAGTATTTGTTTATTTTTGTATATGACTGGTCTATCTACATGGTCACTTTTATTCTAGAAGAGGGCATCAGGGTGTGAGTCACCATGTGGTTGCTGGGAATTGAACTCACAACTTCCAGAAGAGCAGCTCTTAACCGATGATCCATGTCTCCAGTCCCCAGAGTAGGGATTTCTACCCACAGGCAGGAATTGGCAGGGGGTACTCCAGGTGCCGGGCACCCAGGCCTTCTGCACCCTAAGTCTCTATAATCAGTTTTCCCTCAGTGGGTGAGCGGCTCCGGCAGCGCAAGGACACCTTTCTTCTGACCTCTGGGCTTCTTTCGCCCCGCAGCCCAGTGCCACAGCAAAAATATTTGCTGAATGGTTGAAGGAGCACAGGCGGGTGGTGCCGATCAGAAAGAGTCAGGGCAGAGGAGCTGGAGTCCACACCCCAGGGTCCCCTGGGTCTTCTTCCAGGACAGCAGACCCAATGCCTGTGCTCCCTTCCCAATGTGGGGTGGCCTTAGCTCCGCCCTCTGTCCTCTCTCCCCAGATGGCGAAGGAACCGACCTGTTTGCAGTAGCTGTTCATGAGTTTGGCCACGCCCTAGGCCTTGGCCACTCTTCTGCTCCCAACTCCATTATGAGACCCTTCTACCAGGGCCCGGTGGGTGACCCTGACAAATACCGCTTGTCCCAAGATGACCGTGATGGATTGCAGCAGCTCTATGGTATGGAAGGGAGACGCCAAACCACCCCAGGTGTAGCTTCCTTATGGCCTGTACAGCAGGTCAGGGAACCCATATCTGTCTGCCTCTCCCACAGGGAAAGTGTCCCATACCCCGGGTGACAAGCCCACAAGGAAACCCCTGGCTTCCCCTCCACAGCCTCCAGCCTTGCCCCCTGACAGGTGAGTCCCCTGCCATTTGTGTGACCCTGGCTCGGTGTCCTCCATGGGAAGGGGCTGGAAGTGCTGGGCAGATGGTCAATGTTTAGGAGCATTTGCTTTTCTCTGAGGACCCAGGTTCAGCTCCCAGAAACCACTTCAATCAGCCTGCTACCACCTGTCACTCCCACTCTGGAGAACACCTGTGGTCCTCTCGAACACCCACACACGTGGCACACACACATAAATAAAAATAAAAAAAAATAATAATAAACACAGGGCTGGGGAGATGGCCGCTGGAGCAGAGCAATTGCCACCCAAGCATGAGGCTCTGAAATCACATTTGAGAAGGCCCTGTGAGAGCCAGAGCTGTGGGTCTGTAATCCCATGACTCAGGGAGGCAGAGACAAGCAGGTTCCTGGAGCTCATTGGCCAGCCAGCCTCACTGAGTCAATGAACTCCGGGTTCAACGAGAGAGCTTGTCTCAGAAAATAAGGTGGAAGCCAGGTGTGGTGCACACCTTTAATCTCAGCTCTCAGGAGGCAGGGACAGGTGGATCTCTGTGAGTTCAAGACCTGCCTGGTCTACACAGCAAGTTCCAGAATAGTGAGGGCTGCACAGAGAGACTCTGTTTCAAAAAACAAACCCAGACCCAAAAAACACAAGGTGAAAAGCAACCAGCGAAGACACACTGTCAACTTATGGCCTGCATACACACACACTTGCACATGCACCAGTACACACATACATACACACTTTCACATGCACCACTACACACACATACACACGTGCACATGCATCAGTACACACACACATACACAATTGCACACACATCAGTACACACACACATACACACATGCACATACATCAGTACACACACACATACACACATGCACATACATCAGTACACATACACATACACACATGCACATACATCAGTACACACATACACACGTGCACATACATCAGTACACACACACATACACACATGCACATGCACCAGTATACACACACATACACACATGCACATACATCACTACACACACACATACACACATGCACATACATCAGTACACACACACATACACACATACAACACACATACAACACAAGCACACAAAAGATGCGGATAGGAAGCGTCCTTACCAGACTAGTCAAGATCAAGGACAGGGAAGCCTACCTCCTGTTCTCTCCCCATCATTTCCAGGCCCTCCACACCTGTGCCTGATCGCTGTGAGGGCAATTTTGATGCTATTGCCAACATCCGAGGGGAGATCTTCTTCTTCAAAGGTAAGTCACTTAGGATGACCCTTGGATCTGCATGACTGGCTTCTTTTACACTTCAGGTGACTCACCCAGGCTGCAAAGCTTCCCGGGAGGTGAGAATTTCGGTGTTAAAAAAGTGGAGTGGTATGGGGGAGACATCCTGGGCAAGTGATAAAATGATGGCCATAGATCTGCTTGATATATAGAGGGATTCTCCCCCTGCCCAGCCACTCGCTGGGTTGGATAGAGGGAGGTCACAAAAGGGACATGAGCTCTTACTTTGTCACATCCCCAGGCCTTGTTCCCTTCTTCCCCTGCAGGCCCCTGGTTCTGGCGCCTCCAACCCTCAGGACAGCTGGTATCGCCCCGTCCAGCTCGGCTGCACCGCTTTTGGGAGGGGCTGCCCGAACACGTGAGGGTCATCCAGGCTGCTTATGCCCGTCCCCGAGATGGCCGAATCATCCTTTTCAGCGGTGGGTAGGGGTCATGGGTACCGGATAGGGCAGGTCTAAGAAGCGCCTCCCTGCTGCCCCACTACCAACATGCCTCCTTCCAGGCCCCCAGTTCTGGGT